GAGAGCATTCTTCATGCCAGGAGCCGACTGTGTTAGAGGCTGGGCCCCCAGTGCTGAGGCAGACTCAGGGCATGTTTTATGTAGCTGTTGTCTAGAGGGGAGATGGGTATTGAGGATAAGAAATGACAGGTGCGTTGAATGCTATCTGAGGAGCATGGCATTGGGAGCACATAAAAAGGAAAATTCACTGATTTGAATGTTAGGGAAGTGCTCTAAGAGGAAGTAACTTTAAAGCCAAGATCTGAGGAGGAATTGGCATTAGCAAAGCAAAGAGGAGGGGTATCCAGGCTGAAGAATGTGTGGGAGAGGCAGTAAGGCCGGGGGGAAGTGCTCTAAGAGGAAGTAACTTTAAAGCCAAGATCTGAGGAGGAATTGGCATTAGCAAGGCAAAGAGGAGAGGGGTATCCAGGCTGAAGAATGTGTGGGAGAGGCAGTAAGGCCGGGGAGGACTGGATGCAGGAAAGAGACTGCAAGGTCTTCAGTGAGTGGATCTTGCAGGCCATTTAGGTCACATTATGGGGTATGCACATAACTGCAGAGCAACTGGGAGCCTCTGAATTGGCTCAAGCAGGAAAGTGAGTTGATCAAATGTCCATTTTGGAAAGATCCCTTTGGCTGCTGGATGGAGAAAGGAATGCGGGAAGCAAATGGGAGACCATTAGGAAGCCTGTCCCAGTTGTCCTGGTGGGAGGTATTGGTAATGTCATGGACTGGAATAAAGGCAGTGGAGATAGCAAGAAGCAGCGAAATTTTTGTCGCCAACTGTAGGGAGGGTGAGGAAGTTGGAGGGATCCAGGACAATTCTCAAGAGTTTTTCCTGAGGGATGTGAGTATCTGGTGCTACCATTTTGACTACCGAAGGAGGCAAAGATTGGGGGTCAGTGGACCCCAGAGATGCTTCCAACACACCAGCCACCTCAGAGCAGACTGAGGTCATGTAAGAAAGAGGTGCAGCATCCTGTAGAAACAGGACAGCAAAGAGGCAAACATCATTGGGACGTAGGATGCTGGGCAGAGACCACCGGGAGCATGAGAGCAATTAGAAGCAAGCTGAAACCAGGGAGGAGACAGGAGGGGATGTAATTGAAACTGGAGCACTGGAGGGTTAGCTGGCGCTTGTCCGCTTTGGAAGGCAATGTAGTGGCAAAGGGATCAGGTCCTAGTCTTCATGATTAATCCGAATCCTCTCCCAAGGTAGCACCATTTTTTCCCTGGAAGAGTCTGATACTGGTGGCCTGAGCATCCTGCTTCTCTCACCAGGAGTCATGGAGAAGCCATCAGGACCTCTCTCTAGAAATCACAAGGATTGGCCCAGCTCAGGGCAGAGTGCAAGAATGGCAGTTGGTATGGTTTTACAGTTTTCTCTCCACAAAAATTATTTTTCCTTTGGAAGGAAGGAAGTCTATGGGATATACCCTTTTGGTCCCCCATTTTTGCATTAATTCCCAGTTAATACCTTTATATGGGGCAGTGATGGGCACCTTAAAAGGCAAGCATTTTTCTCCCATTGGCAGCCTGGGTGTTGTGGCTGGAATACCAAATCTGAACAAATAGCTCTCTCCAGGCTGTCTTCTTTGATTATTTTTTTCTCTGGGATGTATCAAGCTCCAGGCAGACTGTGCCTGACTTTTTCTTCATAAGGACTAATCTGTTGAGGACATCGTGAGTGAACAGGGCGCAGTAATTGAGTGCCTCCCATCTCCATTTCAGCTTTCTGAACTCTCTCTACCCACGCCAGTGGCTCCCTGCTTGTGGACCTGTCCCTGAGTGACAGATTCACTCTCTCAAGATTCCAGTGCCCGATTCCATCAGCCATCCAAAGCCTGTGTACTTCAGGAAGCCTGTGGGAAATTCAGCAGTCTTGTAAAGATACAGATTACCTGCGCATCTGTCAGGGTTTAGTTAAACATGACTGACTAATTTATCTTGCAGTGTGAGATTTCCTTTGCAAGTTGACTTGGCAATTTTCTCTGCTCAGAGAACATTTAGAATAGTTGGTATGCATGGCAATAGAGAGAAAAATAGATGCTATTAATTTTTTATTTTCAAATGTGAGATTGACTGTAGAGCCCACATCCTATTTCCCTCAGAAAAACATACCACATCCTTTCTTGCTTAGAGTTGTGCAGTATCAGAAAAGTGAGTGCCCAATCCCCCCAGAGGCTCTGGGTTGGGGCAATAAGCATGTTCGTGTGGGCCTACTCCTGAGGACCAGTTTCAGTACCTTGGCAAAACTATGAATTTCCGCCTTCAGCAACAGCTGCAGCTTGTCCTGTTTGTGAGCATGGCTTAGCAGGAGATGTCGGTTCCTGGCCGGTGTGGGCTTATTATCTTCTTTCTCAGTGCATCATAAAAGGGTGAAGGGAAGGAGTAGACACAAAGGCCTTGGATGTCAGGATGTCTTGATCAACCTCCAGAAAGCTGGAAGTACCAAAACGATAGCCAACTCCATCCTGTGCTATCCAGGACAATGTTCTGCTAAAGCGGAAATATTCAGTATCTGTGCTATCCAGAATGCAAGTCACCAGCCACGTGGGACTACTGAGCACTTAGAATGGGGTGGTGCAACTGAGGAACCAAATTTTAAATTTTATTTAATTTTAATTAATTTAAGTAGTCACATGTGGCTGTGGCAACTTATTGGATAGCACAAGTATCTATTTTCACCTATTTCCTATGTGGCCAATGACAGTTTCATTTAGGTGCACTTGTCTTACTGGTTTTCTGAATGCTGTGATGTTTGCTCAAGATTACCTATAAATCTTCTATTTAAAAATAACTACAGTGATGATAATAAAGATTGTAGTTAGCACATTCCGAGTGATTACTAATATAAGAGTATGTGTACTTTGCTAAGAACTTTACACACTCTGATTCATAGGCGTATGATGACATTATCCTGAGCTTACAGATAAGGAAACTGAGGTGCAGAGAAGTTATGTGACTTGTCTGAGGTCACCCAGCCAGTAAGTGGTGGAACTGGGATCATTCCAGGCAGTGCGACTCCAGAGGTGTTACACCCTGCTGCCTGTCAGGACGTTTCTCAGTGTCCTTTCCTGGCTGGTGTTTTAAAATACAGTCATGTTCTGATTGTTAAAAGCAAGACAACAGCTTGAGGTCATTAACAATTTGGGAATAAACACTGGACAGACATTCACTCCGTGCTTTGCAGAGTCTGGAGTCTGGATCCTGGCTGGAATGAAGGCAGCAGTTATAAATGAGCACACTCAAGGTACATAGACCCACCCTGGGCTTGGCCACCTCTCCTCTAGTATGGAGGGTGAGGAGAGACCTTTCCTGCTGAGGTCTGGGAAGTCGTGTTCTCCATCAGAGTCCCAGACTCAAGAAAGATGGGCTTGACCAAAAACCAGATGTGTGTTATAAAAATGAGGACAGGATCTGTGTGATAGTTTCTTCTAGAGAGGATTCACCCTGTCCTTTGCAAGGCAGACAAATGGGGGCTGATCACCTTAATTCATCCAGGGCCTGTGCTGATTGAAGGCTGGCTTGGAGATTTGGTGAGACCCCATCTACTTCTTTTCCCTCACTGCACCCATTGCTTCCAGTGGAAAGCCTGGGTTGTCCACTGGGATCCATTTGCACCGGCAGGTTCTGAGCCCTATCTGTGTCTCCTCGGCACCAGGAGACTTTCAGAACTTGGCTCTGCATTGTAGCAGCATTTTCCTTGACTTCTTAGCTGCCTGCTCCTGAAGTATTAGAATTTGGGAGTTTGGGCTGGCTGGTTAGCTCGGCTGGTTAGAGCACTGCCTTGTAACACCAAGTTCAAGGGTTCAGATCCCCATACTGGCCAACCGCCAAAAAAGAGTTTGGAAGTGACAGTTGTGGGGTTTGCTCCTGAAGTATTAGAATTTGGGAGTTTGGGCTGGCTGGTTAGCTCGGCTGGTTAGAGCACCGCCTTGTAACACCAAGTTCAAGGGTTCAGATCCCCATACTGGCCAACCGCCAAAAAAGAGTTTGGAAGTGACAGTTGTGGGGTTCGGTTCTTTGTCCTTTTTTACTCATTGGGATTTTGCCCATCAGATCTGATTTGTGTCCCTCTAGATGCTGAAGGCCACCAAATGCATTGCTGGTTTTTTTGTCGCTTGGTACCAGTGAGAACCTTTGCCAGGGTTCTCAGGACCCAGAATTAGGGTATGCCCTGAGGGAAAAATCAGAGAGTTAGGGAAAGGCAGCTCCCTTCTCTGCACTATTTTCCCTCTTTTGAGATTTCTCCCCTCAAGTCTTATCTTAGCACCTTAAGAAAGCTTCAAATAGCTTGTACCCACCTACTCACCTGCCCATCCACCCATCCACCCATCCGGATTTTCTTCTTGTTCTTAGAAGGAGAATCTGTCTGCCCCAACTACTCTATCATACCCTAAAAGATGAGCTGGATTGTTATAGATGGGCTGAGATAGAAAGGACTCTTCCACGGAGAAGGCATCCATCTGTCTATAGTGGAAGTCAAGAACAAGTTCATGAGGAGACTAACAAAATAGGCCAAATCCACAAATCCAAACTTTGGGCTAAAATAAAGTTGAAAGTCTACAATTACTAGGATCTTCTGGTGTCCTGGGCAGCTCCTCCATGAGAGCATTAGCTATTTCTGGATGTTTATCTTTTGGCATGAGTTTAGTGGAAAATGTAATCTTCTCTGGAAAAACCGCAGTAGCAAGTTTTATATGGTTAACAAAAAGGATCTGTGATGGTCCTTGGAGGGTGCTGTGAAACTGTGGGGCTACCGTGGCTTGCTTTACCAGCTCGGAGGCAGTCCATACTCAAGTTCTGAACAATGCTGCTTGCCCTGGGCATCTAGGCTCCCTCTGTGTCATACTCTTCATTTGTCACAGTAGTATCCTTTGGGGTGTTGTCAGAATGGGGTGCGAGTTATAGTGTGGTTGGAAAGGGAGGTTTGCTTTGAACGTGGCTTTGCCAATAATGTGGCACACTGAGGGCAGAAAGCACATGGACTCACTGCTTGATCAATTTGCTTTTTCTAGCCTGCACAGACAAGGAGTTAAGGAACCTTGCATCGCGGCTGAAAGACTGGTTTGGAGCTCTTCATGAGGATGCAAATAGAGTCATCAAGCCCACCAGCTCTGACACAGCCCAAGGCAGTAAGATCACTTTGCTTTTGCTAATTTATTTTGTCTTAAATATCACGACTCCTCAGGTATTAGACATTATTGACTTAGCAATAGCATTTTGGGGTGGGAAAAAAACACTATGTTAAATGTACACATTGACTTTAAATATGTTGCAATTTCAGAAATAGTAAAACATGGAGGAAGGGGTGATGCTTTAGAATCAAGAAAAAATACAACTTATATTTTTAAAAGTCTGATTGCAAAAATATCATGTGTAGTATAGACATTTTGGAAACTACATTAAGTATATAGAAAAAACACACACAAAATATATATAATCCCACAGTTTTAACAACTGTAAGCATGTTGTGGTATATATACTTGGAGGTTTTTTCCTTTCATATAGGAAAGTATAGATACGTGTGTGTGTATAATTACAAAGTTTGGATCATACTTTACAGACTGTTTCATGACCTTTTATCATTTAGAAATATGACTCTTTCATGTTGTTAAATATTCTGCTTTGTAATAGCTACATACAATTCCAATTTATGGATATTTATTTAATTAGACCTTTATTTTGAGACATTTAGGTTGTCGCTAATGTTTAGCTAATGTAAGCAACACTGTAGCAAACATTTTTGATAATATGTCTTTGTGTCATTGGTCAAACTGCATTTTATTTTCCATAGAAACACCTAGGCAAGTGGCCTTCTCCCCCATCCATTAACATGTAGATTCCTCAAGGAGCCTCCCGCTGGGTTCAGCTACTAAATTGGCAGAAAACATACTTAGCCTTGTCATAAGCTGAAGAGAAAACTCAGAGCAGGCCCTCGTATTTGCACTTTGATAGAGTCTCTCGATGCTTTTAACTCAAAAGTGGTTAGGGGTAGGCTTTTCCACACTGTGGTCAGTTGGCACAGAATGGATGACTGAGCAACACAATTGTTCGAATACATATAGTTGTGCCACGGCCTTTAGTTGTGCCACGGCCTTTTGTATGTAGACATTTTGATATTACAGTCAGCCCTCTATCTGCAGGTTCTGCTTTTGAGGTTTTAACCAACTGCAGATCGAAAATATTTGGGGGAAAAAAGCAATAAAAAATAACAATACAACAGTAAATAATATGAATTTAAAAATACAGTATAACTACTTTATAGCATTTACATTGTGTAAGGTATTAAAAGTAATCTAGAGATGATTTAAACTATGCGGAAGGATGTGCAAATACTGTGCCATTTTATATTAAGGGACTTGAGCATCTGCGGATTTTGGCACCCAAGGGAGGTTCTGGAACCAATTTCACATGGATACGAAGGGACAAGTATATTTAGTCAAAATGTAAAAACAGTTATTGTTGTTTAAAACAGTATTTCACTCCATCCCTGATCTGATGCTTGTTCAGGCAATTTCTGAAAGTAGGGCTCCTGGATTGCATGAAGTAGGTAAAAATTTACATTGGCAACTGCTGGGATCCAGAGTTTGACTGGCATCTGGTCTTCAGCCAAAATAAAAACATTTGCCTTCATCCTTGGTAATTCTTTGCCACTCATAGCCTTCTGGAGATAACCAGTAGAGAATACTGATCTACAGGACAATTATTTTAATAGTTTGGATCTTTTATTTTAAGATAAGAAAGATAACATTTGCTTCCCAGAATCTAAAAGTGTTTTAAGAGTGGTTCACTGTGGTTGTGTCTGTGGGGAAGGCAAAGTAAGATGCTTTTTTTCCATTCCTGCCAGAGGTTCCTTGGGAGTTTGTGAACAATTAATTCACAGATGGTCTAGAGAAACTTTCCCGCCATCGTCCAGGAGCAGCCTTTCAACAAAGAGCAGACTGATGTGAGGAGAGCTGCTCCTCACAGTCCCCAGAGGCTCCTCTTAGACAGCTGGGGAGCCTGCAAAAGACCTGCCATTGGCCAGAAGCAAATTGAGTCCCCAAAGAGGCTTTTAGGTTTGATGTCCTGAAGCAAGTGGAGTGAAAGGAGTATAAAGGAATGATGCTTGGTTAGTCCTCAAGGCCACAGGAGGGAACGTGCTTGTCAGTCCAGGAGTTCTAAAGGGGAAGCGGTAGAATCTTGCTGGGTCCTGTACACCCAGGGCCAACTAGAAGGGCCAACTGCTTCCCCCGTACCTCAGGCTACCACAGACACTGATGAAGACCATCCTTTTCTAGAACCTTCCAAATGGGAGTGGGGTGGACTTTACCTTTTGACTACTGCCCAACCAGCTTGGTACTTCTTTTTGATGATTAGTCAGCAGTAAACTCCTCTTTCCTGTGTATTAAAATGTCAATTTCCTATAAAATTGATGCATATTATGTAAAATATTCTGTACAGAAGTATAGAGCCATGTAGTGTCAGAGCAAATTATCTTCCCTTACTCAGTAGCCCCTGAGGACATCATCATCACAGAGACTGTTGACAGTCGTGATGCTCAGTCAAAGAAGAGGCCACATTATGTCAAATAGTCTCTCTTCTGGGAAAAAGGGATATTTTTAAGATGTGTTCTAAGATATCAAAACAAATTTTAAAATGAAAGATTTTATGTTTGAAGGGGTAAACTTTGCAGTACCTAGAAAACGTCTCCCAACAAGTATTTTTATTGATCACTGACTGCCTGTCATGGCTGAGACTACTGAAGGGAACAAGAAAGTCTTTGCCCTCGGAGAGCTTGTAGTGCAATTAACAAGCATGGACACTACAACGGAGAAGCACAGGTTTCTATGAGAGCTCAGAGGAGAGGGTGCTGAACTTACTTTACTGGCTTCTGGACTCTGCTTTATGTAGAGACACTGCTTTCAAAAGGGTGGGTGCACAGCCCAGCAATGACCAGGCCACCGCTGGAAGCCCCCTGGTGTCCCCTGTGGGAATGAGGGGGATGCCACAGGCCTCAGTCCTGCCCCTCCTCCTTCCTCCTTCCTCCTTCTTCCATCCCATTTCCTTTCCCTTTCCCCTCTCCCCCTCCCTCCCAATGCTCCGCAACAACATCATAGAATGTAAAATATATATATATATATATATAAATTTTTTTAAAAGGGTGGGGGCATTTTGCTCTATCTTATATCCCGTAAACTAAGTGGGGGGTTCCTGGGGATGCATGTAGAAACCTGGTGACCAGGCCGAGGGCAGGGACTGCTGGAGTGGGCAGTCAGTCCCCTCAGGACCCTCCACTGGAGTTACTGTATCATCCCCCTGTGCTGACTATCCCCAAGCTTGGCATACTAAGCCAACTGGATGTCCTCAAGGCAGGAGAATCAAGTAAGGCAGAAGGCAGCCCTGGGATTGGAGGCTTTGAGAATGTAGACTCAGGATTGGGCTGCCTGGGTTTGAATCCCAGTTTTGCAGTTGTATAACCTTGAGCGTTATTTCTTTCATCTGTGAAGTAGAGATGATATAGTCCCATTTCATAGGACTGTTATAAGAATTCAGTGAGATAACGAAGTATAAATTGTTTAGAAGAGTGCTTTATATACAGCAGCACATTAACTTTTATCATCAGTATTCTAGGTAAATAAAACTAGTCCTAGAAATTCAGTTTATGGAATAACCTAAGATTGTGTGGTGTCTTTGACTCTGAAAGAAAGATGAGTTTTAGATGTGGAGCATATCTGCTTTGGGGTTTGTCTACAGTGGGCTCAATATCCTGAGTGTTGAGCTAAGTGTTATTATTTGAGTGCATACAGTTTTCGTTGTGGAAACAAATAATTCTTCAAGAAAACTACTTCCCCTACCCCAGGGAAATAAGAAAGAAAAATGATTGCATGAGTTGATTTGGATTCCATCTCATGTATCTCTTTAGGGGATTGCAGAAAGAAAAATGGGAACAGAGGCAGGTACCTGGCTTGTTTTGCCATTAATGTTCAGACTGGGATTTAACAATCTGCTGGGATGTAATCAGTGCTTCCAGATTATGCTATATAGTTTTATTTCATTGCTATTCTTTTTATAATTTATTCTTTGGGTTTTTCAAATTTTTTTCCTAAATAGAAAAGCATAGCTTTCAGTATTATAAGTTATACCTTCCACCCACCATGTCTGTATGCTTCCTTCAGGCATACCCTGTTTTAAGAAAGCCTAGTAAATGAAAACCCATACTTACATCACAGATAAGTTAGCGTTGGGGATTTGTTCCCTTCAGAAAATATTTTCCTCAAATGCTGACTTCTGTTTTAGTGTATTTTAAACTGTTTCATTTAAAAAGCAAACAATAAAATATTTTAGAGTACCACTGAGACTATATTCTGGGACGAAAAGAGCCTCAGGGGAGGAGGGTGTAAGGGTGGACCCTTGGCTTCTCCTAGGGGCAGAAATCTGGGGAGTGAACATGGTGGCAAAGACCTGACTCAGTGGCAGCTGAGATGTGCCTTTCCCTCACAGGGTTTGACACCAGCATCCTGCCCATCTGCAAGGACTCCCTGGGCTGGATGTTCAACAAGTTGGACATGAACTATGACCTCCTCCTTGACCACTCAGAGATCAATGCTATCTACCTGGATAAGTACGAGCCCTGTATCAAGCCTCTCTTCAACTCTTGTGACTCTTTCAAGGATGGCAAGCTCTCTAACAATGAGTGGTGCTACTGCTTCCAGAAGCCTGGAGGTAAGGCAGGAGGGAGGTGGGATCCAGAGCCCAGGGCAGCCATGCTGGGCCAGGGAGGAGCACATGACAGACAGGCGGGTAGAGATCAGCAGGCAGAAAGACACAGCTAGAGAATAAAGAATTCATCCCCTTTAATGGCAGGCCCAAGGCTCATTTCACCTGATTTATTTCTGCTTTCAACATGGTATACTAGAAAACCCAAAAATATAATCGAGGAGTCTGTTATTTCAGTCTGCTCTTCCCTTTGGGAAAGTCTTTAACTATGTTGTGTCTCAGTTTTTCATCTGTAAAATGGGTATAGAAACCTTCACTACATAGTCCCTAAGGTCACTGGGAGATTCTCAATATGGAAAATAAGGTCCAAATGTAAGAGTATTATAATTCCTGTTGTCGCATGAATTCTCTGTGTTCTTCTTAGAGAAAGCCACTTGTCAGCTTCTGTGGGATAAGTATGGATGTATGCCGAGTGTCTTTGACAGAGATATTTTGGTTATAAATAAATTCCAGCTAATGAAAAACAAGATTTGGGGAATATATGAAAGGATGCTAGGGTATCTCATGTAACCCAAAGTCAGACAGGAGAAGTCAGCCTGCAGGGGGATTCAGACTAGGGACAGGAATCCAGTGACAGGTGCTCTGACTTCCTGTGGTCCACGTGGCCTGGCTTTACTTCCCTCTGTCTCAGCTTCCTGGGGCTGTGAGGAACCCTGGGAGGTCCACACTTATGTGACCAGCAGAGACTGGCTTGCATCTGAATTCCAATCTCAAGCCCCAGATAATTCTGATCCAGCGTGGTTAGGTTTCCAGGACAACATACTAGAGGCATGACTGGCAAACTCCATCCCAGGAAAGGAGTAGAAGTATTTAAATTATATGTGTGTGTATGCATACACAATATGCACAGCAAAAAATGTAGGCATTCCAAAAGAGCATCAATGAAAAGCAAGTATGTGTGTATATATTTATCAGATAATTCTGATCCAGCGTGGTTAGGTTTCCAGGACAACATACTAGAGGCATGACTGGCAGACTCCATCCCAGGAAAGGAGTAGAAGTATTTAAATTATATGTGTGTGTATGCATACACAATATGCACAGCAAAAAATGTAGGCATTACAAAAGAGCATCAATGAAAAGCAAGTATGTGTGTATATATTTAAAGGGTTATAAGATACATTCCTGCAAGCAGAATTACCAGTCAAAAGGCATATGCATTTTTAA